TTTGGCAGGGTCTTCTGTATCCTCAACTGGCCTCAAACTTGAGGAAGACCAAACTCCTGATCCTCCTACCTCCATTTCCCAAGTGATGAGATTATAGGCATGAGCCACCACACTCAGGTTTATGTGGTACTGAGAACAAAAAGCAAGCACTCTACCAACTGAGCTATATTACCATCACTAGTCTTATTTTTCTAAGAGATTCAACGATGACTTTTAAAAATTTTTGTTTTCTAATATTTTTTAATTATTATTTTTATTTTATGTATATGAGTGTATTGCCTGCATGTATGTGAGTGCATCCATGTCCTGCAATGCCACAGAGGTCAGAAAAGGGCTTCAGATTCTCCTACAACTGGAGTTAAAGACAGTTCGTAGCCACCATGGAGGTGCTGGGAATTGAACCCAGGTCCTCTGCAAGAGCAGTGTTCTTAACCCCTGAGCCATCTCTCCAGACTGTTTTCTAATATTTTATTATTTTTATTTTATATGTATCAGTGTATTGCCTTTATGTATGTAAGTGCACTATGTCATGCAATGTCCACTGAGGTCAGAAGAGGGCATCAAATCCTGCTGGAACTGGAGTTACAGACGGTTGTTAGCCACCATGTGGGTGCTGGGAATTAAATCTAAGTTCTCTACAAGAGCAGCCACTAACCACTGAGTCATCTCTCCAACCCCAATTTATTTATTTTTATTTTATGTATATGAATGTATTGCCTGCATATAAGTGCACCTGTGTCATGTAATGCCTGCAGAGGTAAGAAGAGGGCATCAGATCCCTTGGAACTGGAGTTAGACAGTTGTTAGCTGCCATGTATGTGCTCAGATCCAAACCTGGGTCCTCTGTAAGAGCAGTCAGTGCTCTTAACCACTGAGACATCTCTCTAGCCCCCAAAGATGACTTAAAAATTTATTTAATATCAGCAAATATCCACTCATGGTTCAGCAATTTCAAAATTATAAAAAAAACTTTAGTTAACCAATAGGAATAAAAACTTATATACACAAAAAGATTCATACAAGGAAGTTCTTAGCTATTTTAGTGATAATAAACTAAGTATAGAGGCAACAAAGATTCATGATAGGTAGGTGATTATATAAATAAATGGATATATTCATACAATAAAATATTGCTCAGCATAAAAGAATGAGCTACAGATATGCCCTAAAACATGGAAGAACCTCAAAAACATTGAACAGAAAAAAAGTAGGCAAACAAAAATGTTCAGGACTAGAGATTTAGCGCAGTGGTAGAGTGCATACTTATCTTGGACCAAGGGCCTGGGTCCAATCCTCAGCATCAAAAAAAAAAAAGTAAAATAGGAATGATAGTATTTACGTGAATTACCAAAATAGGTAAAACTTATCTATGGTAGTAAAAAGAAAATTTTATTTTGAGGGGTAGGACCTAGAGTTACTTGGAGAAGGGTATAACCAAACTTCTTGGGGTGATATCCTGAAGCTTTGAAAAGGATTTGGGTTTCAAGGGTTGTGAAAACTTAAAGCATGGTTGAGGATGTAGCTAGTGGTAGAGCACTTTCCTAGCATGCACAGGGCCCTGGGATTAATCCTAGGCACCACAAGAAAATGAAAGAAATGTATCAAATGGTCCATTTGACTAAAACATTTTGCCTTATAAGAATTTTAAGTAAGGGGCTGGAGAGATGGCTCAGCGGTTAAGAACACTGGTTGTTCTTGCAGAAGACCCAGGTTTGAATCCCAGCATCCACATGGCAGCTAACAACTGTCTGTAACTCTAGCCCCAGGGGATCCGGGGGCCTCTTCTGACCTCCACAGGCACTGCACAACATGGGTGCAACTTACCTACATGCAGGCAATACACACATACACATAAAATAAAAATTTAAAAATTTAAAAAATAAAAAATTTAAGTAAAAGAACCATAAACAAATGCTGGCCTATGGTTAATGCTATGTAAGAGCAGTGAATTATATTGCTCTATTCATCTCCAATAAAATCTGAACTGCATCAACATAGGAAAGATGAGTGAAAATGGACAGAAAATTATAGATGGTTGATAAATACAAATATATACTATTTTTTCCTTATTTTCACAAAAAGTAGTACACCATACAGATTATTCTGCATTTAGACCTTTTCTATTAATATTTCTTAGAGACTTACCTCTATCAGCATGTGGGAGCTTCTCATGAATAGATACATCATATTTCTCTGATCATTTATCACACTTAACTTGTTCTCAAGTTTTTGCCATTGAAAAACTATGACCAATGTTTTAAGAGCAAATTTCTAAACAAATGCCTCAAATAAAATTTCATTTTCTCTTTTACTTTCTGTACTTTGCTAATGTGACCTCTCAAAAACATTATGTTCAAAGACAGGCATAGTGGTGCACATCTTTAATCACAGCACTCTGGAGGCAGAGGCAGGCAGATCTCTGTGAGATTGAAGCCAGCCTGGTCTACATAGTGAGTTCCATGACAGCTGGGGCTAGAGGGAGACCGTCTCAAAAAGACCAAAATAATAATAATAATTAATAATAATAATTCATTAAAACTACACACAGGTCTATCACCAGTGATGCAGCTCAGAGGGCAGGGCACTTGCCTGGCATGTGTTAGACCCTGGTTTCAATGTCAAAACTGTTCCCATCCCCATCCCCAAAAGTCAAGTATTTATCAATATAGATGTATCTATATATACATCAATAAGTAGATGACTAAGTAAACAACCAAGCAGCCATTTTTCAGCAAAAAAATGTGGCACAAAGCTTGACAACATCCTAGGTATGGTAGCATATGTCTGCAATCTCAGCACTCTGGAGGCTGACCCAGGAGGATAGTGAGTTCCAGGCCAGCCTAAGCTACATAGCAAGATTCTAACTCACTCAACCACACAATTAAAGTTATTATTACTTATTTATTCTGAGACAGGGTCTTACTGAGTAGCCCAGACTGATCTCAAACTGATGATCCTTCTGCCTTTCACTTCTGAATGTTAGGATTACCTCCAAGTACCACCTGGCCTGACCAACAAATTTATCTTCGATGTCAGGCAAGCCAAGCCTAGGAAGATGACACATACACAGCCAAGCAGACCAGGTAAAAAGCAACTCTCAACATCATTCTTTTGTGTCATTTTTGCCAAATATTTTTCATTCTCAACATTAAAGTGATGTGCTATCATGTGTTCACTAAGGGGCACAGTAAGATAATTAGATCCATTTCAAAAACTACTTACTTTTTTTCTAAACTGAATGAATTCCTAAATTTACTAATTAATCTGAAGATCAGCACTGGCAAGTAAACAAGTTTGCATATTATTACACTTTATTTATTAATGTTAGAGTGTGTGGTATGTGTGTGTTTCACACTATATGTAAAGGTCAGAAGGCATCTTGCACAGGCATGTTCTCTTCCACCATGGGTCTCAGCAACCAAACTCAGGTCAATCTTGGCAGTAAGTGTCTTCACCAATGAGTCACCTCATCAGCCTTAAACCATGTTTTTGAGAGTGGCCCTGCTTAGATCACAAGTATAACTAAATTTGTCCTTACATTCCTAACATTAGCTAGCCATGCAAGATGGCTTAGCAGGTAAAAGCACTTGTGCAAGCTTGAAAATCTGAGTTTGAACCCAAGATAGGAGAGAACCAACTCCTAAAAGTTGTCCTCTGACTTCCACAGCCACATCACACCATGAGCATACCCACAACTCAAATATACATCACACACACACACACACACACACACACACACACACACACACAAATAAATTTAAACTAAAAAATTTACCTAGTCATGAATCAATGTAAATACATCATAACTTAGAAAAGATTTAAATTTACCTTGGGAAAATATTTGTATAGTCCCATGTACGCAAGTTGTAAAGTAAGAAATGGAGCAAATATAGACTGTGAAGACAGAAGATAAAATTAAATATTTCCAACAGAATCATTCACATCACAATAAATCAATCTAACAAAGGTTCTCAAATTCCTAGTAAAACATTATAGTAAAATATTTAATTTAGTGGCAGAAAGTAATCTTGTTTTTGCAGAAGAGTAAAAGAATACAGAGATTTGCTTTTGTAAACAAAGAACATGTTTTCCAAGTCATGTAATTCTTTCAATGCCCCTCACAAAATGTATTCACAAATAAAAACTTTTGTTTTGCTTTACTGAGACAGGGTCTCACTACGTAGCCCAGGCTGGCCTTGAGCTCATGATTCTATGATCATGATTCCATGGTGCTAGGATTACAGACTATGCTACCACACCCAACCCAAACTTAGCATTTAAATTAGAGTATTAAAAGGTGATAGATATACACTACAGGCAGTAGCATCTTCCTTTCGGAGGGGAAATTAGCAGACAACTTAAAGCAAACATAAAAGATCCAGGACTAAAGATAGAAACTGCTTCAGAGTATGGGGCAGAGTTAACACACACAGCTTAGGTTCCAAATGACAAAGTTAAAACAGTTTGGTGGTCTGGCATCTTCGATAAAATGAAAAAGATCAAAATGATATTTAATTTATAATGTTCTTTCTACAATTAAAAGATCATCAAGGGTGTAAAGGAGCAAAGACGACTGCATAGCAGTAGACAGCAAGGGACAACGGAATATCTGATAGCAAAGAGAATGTTTGAAAACCAAAGCAACAAAAACATCATGTAAAAATCAGGCATAGCTTTGAAAGTGCAAAGCACAGAGCCTTTAGGTAAGAGAGGAAAAAAAAGCAGCTCTTAGCTCATTACCTGCTGAAAGTAACTTTGCTATAGTGACAATTTATTATCAGAAAATAATCAATCTCTTGAACAGATTCTATTTAAGAAAATATGTGCATAAAGTTTTTTGGTTTTTGTTGTTTACGTTTTTCGAGACAGGGTCTCACTATGTAGAACTGGCTGGCCTAGAACTCACTATGTAGACCAGGCTGGCCTCAAACTCAGAGATACTCCTGCTTCTGTCTCCTGAGTGCTGGGATTAAAGGTATGCACCACCATGACCAGCAACAGATTTTAAAAACCTGTTTTGCTTAATGATATAAATCTCAATTGTCTGGAAAATTTATGCATGTAACTGGTACATGATAAGTATTCTTATGTCTACTGAACAGACATACTTCAAAAATCATGACTATGCCTTTCTTCATTCTTTTACATCCCATAAAACAACAGGACAACATGGTACAGCAAGCAAACTGTCATTATGATGTTACTACATTATAAAATGCTGAAACACCTTTTGAGCTGTAGAAAAATTATCTATATTCAGGACCACAATACATTTTACTGTTTCAAACTCTTGAAAATTACTAGTTAATATATAGTACCTAGAGGCATCTAAACTTTCAGTTCTAGAATGAAACTGCCTGAGTATCACCCCACCTGTCAGTTGCTATGTGACCCTGGGCAAATGACTTAATGTGAGTCTTAATTCCTTCATGGGTTCAAATGACACATAGGTCATAAGGATGAGAATTAGGTGAATTAATGTAAGGAAAGCATTTAAAACATTACATGGCATATAGAAAGACTAGTAATTATTAATAGGCTCTCATTCTATAGCTAAGAAGAATTACAGGGTTTATAATACACTTCCAAACCCTATAGGTCTGGTAATACTGGTAATAAATGCTATGGATTACAAGTCCCCATTATAATAACCAACTTGCATTTTCTTAATTAATAGATTGCAGCTCTTTTCTTACCAAATACTTGCAAACAAAAGCTCTGACGCCAAGAGCAAGAAGAGCACATCCCACCAATCTAAATATTCGAAAAGAGTCAAATTCCTCTGTGGCACTTCCATCTTCCTGGCTGGGCTTCTCACTGATGAGCTGTTTCCGGAGCTTCATTGCTTCTTCAAATCGGGAAAGGTACTGTTCTAAGCCATGGTGAGAGCCCCTCTGGGTGCCATCTGCTGTCAGGTCACCTCTGTTCCACTGCCGGAGCTCAACATCATTACCACTGCACTCCGATGATTTAACGAAGGAGTCCAATTTGTCTCCCAGCTGGGTAACCTTTACTTCAGCCACACCACTGGGCTGGTCAGCTGTTGCTGCACTGACTGAATCACCCAGCACCACCCGCTTTGAAACTGAAGGAATGCTGAGGGAGTTCAGTTTGTCACTCTCCTGTGGCTTTGATTTTGCTTGACTTTCTTCTTCTGAGGAAAAAAAAATTAAAACCTTGTGTATTACATACTGGTAAACACCTTACATATTAATACACAAAAATGTGCTGCTGCAGCTACGACTTGACTGATGAATTAAAATAAACACAAACTCTGCAGAAAGTAAAAACTAGCTCCTTCCTCCAGATTCCCAAAACACAGCACACAAAAATGGTATTCTGTCTGGTAGATGGAAGTATTCAAACTTTGTGGTGAGGAACTATGACTAGTAAACAAATAAGCAAAGAGATGGACAGATGAAGCAAGCAATAAAAACCAACTTTTTCATGGATAAAATATTCCAGAGGTATGACTGAATTGTTTACATTAGCTTATTTGGCTAAACATATAAAATTATTAAAGTTTTTAAGATCTCTATTTTACAATTACATTTCTGAGTCCTGTGAGCACAGGGTGTGGCATATCTACAACCACTGTTTATGTCCTCAGGCAGCCATTAACAGGCACTTTTAGGATGCTGATCTGGAGAGAGAGAGAGAGAGAGAGAGAGAGAGAGAGA